AACAATTTGGATTCTTCTGCGTATCGTGAGGCAAACACCTATTTCTGGAGTTCTTACCTTCTACACGGATGCAAACAAATCAGGTAAGGCAGGGTATAAATCAGGAAATATAAAGTAGTTCAAAGTCCTTACAACTCCATACAAAAAGCAGAGTTATATGCCATTCTCATGGTACTTAAAGTCTTTACAGGGCCTCTCAATATAGTCACGGATTCTCAGTATGCAGAGAGAGTTGTCTTGCACATTGAGACTGCAGAATTTGTTCCTGATGGCACAGAATTAACCTCATTGTTTTTACAATTACAGGAAACCATCAGAAACAGGACTCATCATATATATATATATCTCACACATCAGATCCCATATAGGTCTGCCAGGTCCTCTGGCACAAGGCAATGATGGAATTGATCGTTTAATAATAGCTAATGTGTTGGAAGTTTCAGAATTTCATAAGAAACACCATGTTAACAGCAAAGGTATAAAGAAGGATTTTTCTCCATGTTAACAGCAAAGGTATAAAGAAGGATTTTTCTATCATCTGGCAACAAGCCAAAGAAATAGTAAGAAATTGGCCCAGTTGCTCATTCTACAATCAAACTCCGTTACCAGCAGGTTGTAATCCTAAAGGTATTCACAGAAATGAACTTTTGCAAATGGATGTATCTCACTTCCCAGAATTTGGCAGTTTGAAATATGTACACCATACCATAGACATGCTCTCAGGCTTCCAATGGGCTACTGCCCTCAGCTCTGAAAAAGCTGATTCTGTTATTACATACCTCTTAGAGGTGATGGCTGTTATGGGTATACCTAAAACAATAAAAACTGACAATGTAACTGGTATACCTTACAATCCCACAGGACAAGCAGTGGTTGAAAGATCTAACCGAACCTTAAAAGAGATGCTTCATAAACAGCCAAGGGGAACAAAGACCCCCAAACACAGGTTACATAATGCTTTACTAATGTTGAATTTTCTTAATGCTGATGAAAAAGGACAAACTGCAGCAGAAAGACACTGGACTAAGGAGAAGACTTCTGAACTGAACCAACCGGTATATTTTAAGGATGTTATGACCTCAGTCTGGAAACCAGGATATGTGTTACGTTGGGGAAGGGGTTTTGCTTTTGTTTCCACAGGAGAAGAAAAACTTTGGGTTCCATCAAAATTAATTAAGATTCGATCAGAACAGAAGACATCTCAGGAGGAGGAAAGGTAACAGCTCATCTACAAAATCATATTCTACCATGGGTAAAGTGACCTCCTAAAAAGAAAGAGGAGTGTTTTGTTTTTTGTCTTCACAGGTAAACTCAACAAAAAAAAAAGATTCCTGAAGAAGAATGAATAGCTACCCTGATGACCATCAAACAAACAATAACTCACTGTGTGGTATCAAAATCTAAATCTCTCTATATTGTTTTTTATAGTACCCTTTTATCTTTGTTTCTTCATATACTTCAGTCCCCATTCACTTAACTGAAGCTGGCTTTGGAGTTGGATTGGCTCTCCTACTCTAAATTCAAGCACATTATTTAAATAAAATTCAGAATTTCTGTATTATATCAAAGAGCCATTGATATAAGACAGAAGAAAATAAAATTAGGGACTGTTATCTGTGGATTTCATTTTCTGAAAAGTCTAATTTTCTTCATGTTTACCATCTTCCCTATTGTTACCTCTTCTGGTATGCATACATATAAAAGTTAAAAATATTTCTTTGTTAACATTAATGTTTGAGTTTTCCAGAGAACAAGGGATTTCCTGACAACAATCTTCAACTGCTTCAGAAAGAGAATGAGGATCCATTTCCTTGATTCCACCTGATTTGACTGGATGCATCTGAACTGCCCCATATCATTGACTCCACCTGACAAGCACCATCCTGAAACATTTATACATTCAGAGAGAAAACATGTGTGAGCATCTAGGGGCAAAGGCAGTATAAGCATTCTTATTAAGGATCATTTAGAATCCTGTGGTAAGAGGCGTGTAGATCAAACAGGATGGAAGCACATACGTGAACTAGCCAGTCCCTCCCAACAAGTTGCTGGTGGGGTCCCTGCTTGTGGCCTGCTTCCTCTTTAGGAGTACATGCTGTAGCAAACACCACAGTGTCAGCATCCACAGCTGTGGGATGATCCTGGGAATTTCCTCAGTCAGTTCTGCTTACTAGACAATTAGTCAAGAGACTAAGAAAGAAAAATCTTCAAGTTGGATAAATAATTTGTATACACTGCAGGTTCTACTAGGAACTGCAATATTTATGTTATAGGTTCTATCAGGAAAACAGGGATAAATCCTCAGGTCAAAAAGGAACAGCATAGGGAGGAACAACCCCTATCTGAATCAGCAGTTACAAGAGTAACAGTAATGGTGATGCTTTGGTACCTAATACAATTTTAAAAGGTAAAAGTTTGGAAAGGCTTCTTTTTCTCGTCTCTCCATCTTCAACATAATTATATAGGAACAAAGACAATGTTGAGAAGCTCTTTGTACAAATCCTGAGCTCTGGGAAGACAATTAAGAAGTGAGCATAACAATATTTATTTTGAATTTGAAATTGAAAATGGTGTTATCTACTCTACAAGTCTGGGACAAAATTAAATTTATGGATAACTGCTTCAAGTATACTTCAACTGTAAAAGCCATTCTGAAAAACAAAACAAAGCCCCCCCCAAAAAACCCTATAACTTTCCCCTTGCTAAACAAGAATGCTGTATACTCCAGTTTCTGAAGTGAGACAAGAATTCCTCAAGGGGCATCTTTTCCCTTGACTGCATATTACCAAATGAAAGATGCCCTGCTCTCCCAGCTTCTTCCTGGATCCCTAGAACAGAACTATGGCAAGCACAAGCTGAGGAGAGGGCTTCTGTAAATGTGACCACTGTGCAAAGAAGGACCAAACACAACCCACAGCCTCAGAGAATTACAGGCTATGTATAAGCACCACTCCAGGCCCAAGTGACTCTTGCGCTTGCCCTCCCTCTGACTTAATACATGGAAAACAAATCAAAGTATGGAGGTGTTGTGTGAATTAACACTTAGCTACAGCCACTGCCTCACACATGCTCTGTCTTCCTTTTAAGTATTATTACCTTTTTCACCAATTGTACTTTGGTTTTAATTATGCAGGATGACAAACACATCTTGAGACAGTATCCAGTAGCTGTGGTCATGTAGTTAAACTACAGGTTCATGGCTTGCTGGACACCAAGAGGAAATTACCTAATACACGGTAAGGCCCTCTTTCCTCCTCCACAATGGCCTGGCCATGAATTAAAAAACAAGATAGCATAGTTAAAGTCTGCTTAAAAGTACAAATGGCCATAGAACAGAATTATTGCAGGTGGCTGGGGCTAGTCAGCGTGATAATAATGAGACACGCCTCATACTACCTTTGGTTGGACTAATTGCTTTAGCAGGTGTCAGAAAGATGCAGAAAAAAAAAAGATCAACTCTCTCAAAACATAGAGATCCTCTTTTTAATGAGCCTCTACTAAGCAGAAGTAATAGACACAAACTGATCCCAAGAAAGTACAGAAAAGAACATTAAACCATGTAAGGGTCTAAGTTTCTCTTTTGTGGTTAAAAAAAGAAAATGACTTGATACCATTACCAGCTTAGTTTCAGAAACTAATTCAGTTGTAGAAAAGACCACATTTGTTTTAATGAAACAAATCACAGGTTCCATGACTAAACCACATGAGTACAAAAGCATGAAACAAGCCACTGCCTAAGAAAAGAGACTTCAAGCCTGAAAATGCCTGACAGTGACAAACTGTGACTGTATTTACCTGAGCACAGTGGGCAGAGTCACCAGGTGATTGGGTGTCATTCAATACTCTACAGGCTTCAACTACTCCCCACTACTGCAGGATGACTCTAACACAAGTCTTAGCTCTCTAACTGGCATATACCTCAACTGCTGCACCCATCACAGTAGATGAGAACTGTTAATTCTTGTAAACCGGTCCCCAGCCATGGAGGAAAGGTTTATGCCATTATCATCTTAATGTTGCACCTTCACTGTTCCCACACAGCCCAGTCAGTATGATGGAATGAATCAATAGGTCAGTGTGCCAAAGTTCCTCTATCCATAAATGTCCCACTAGTAACTGAATTCCCAACTTTCTAGCTAGTGATTTCAGATTTAACCTCTCCGTACTTCAGTTCGCCCACCTACATACCAAGATTAATAACAACATATTTTTCCAGTGACTCTTGGGAACACTGATTGAGTTACAGAGCCTTGTACAATGATAGCACTCATTTTGAGTGTCCACTAAGCTCTTCAAAGGCAAAAATTTTGGTCCCTTTTGGTCCCTGCTCTATGCCTACACCAGAATCAATGCCTGGTACAACAGACCCAAAATATGCTGTAATGTGCCTTTGTATTTTTCCCCAATCTCTTGTTTTGACGCACAAGTCCATCTGATTTAAGTTCCACACTCCTGTCTCCAAGACTGACACAATTACCTTTCATTTAAAATGGGACACTGACAAAATGGTCAAAAAGTGTGTATCAGTAGACAGAACACTTTACATAGTCCTAATATACCAGTTGTTTTCTTGGGGAGGGGGTGGGGGAGTCTCATGTTTCCCAGGCTGGCCTCAAACTCACTGTGTAGGATGTTACTAAGGATAACTTTGATTTCTGATTGTCCTACTACTATGCTGATATGTGAAGTATTGAGTCACTGCTAGGTGAAGTATCCTACCAACTGAGCTACAGGCCCAACTTCAGTTGCCTGATTTCAAGTAATGATACACTGCTGTATCTATTTTAGCGAAACAGAACAATGCAAGAGCTGATCAACCATTAGGTTCAGGGCTAGGAAAAGAAAATTACAACTGTGTGTTTCTTCACCTAAATAAAAACTATACCGCTTTAAACAGACACATTCAGACATACTAGATACAGTTACAAACATTGTAGGTCATGACAAGCCACACAAACTCAGCTCACTTTATAAATAGAAATGTACAAAAATAAAATTACCTAAAATTAAGCCCACCATTGTACTTAAATATCCGGTTCCACTTCCCAGGTTAAGAAAAGACAATCCCGGTTGAAGTTTCAAAGCTTCCATGACTTCGGAATAAATGCAAGGTGCTGACAAGTGTATGTTCCCGTGCTTCCAGGCTAAGTCTTTGTACGCATTGTCTCTGTAGCCTTCCAGGTAGTAGTCCCCGCGGTCGATGGCTCTGAAGGCTTGCTCTACTCTCTCAGTGCGGATGTACTGTGCTTCCTTAAGGTTATCAATTAAGTCATCATTATCTTCCCCAGCACTCACAGCTCCTCCCATGACAGTATTCAAGTCAAATCACACGTTAAAATGCATCGGAATTAGCAGAAATGGCTTCCGATAATGTGTGCTTTTTCTTTTTAATATTGAACTTGATTTCCAAAAATAATTAAACCTGAAAAAGAGCAAAAATAAATAAGTTTAAATTAATATGTGCCACAATATTAACTACCATTTTCCATGAATACATTCTGTTTCAGCCACCGTGTTAAAAGACTTAAATAGACTTTTAATTAATTCTTGTAACAACCATAGAAGGTAGAAAACTGGGGCTAGGAATTTAAATTAACTAGTACTGGTCCTATATGGTGACCATGATTCTCTATCCAGAGATTAACTCATCATATAATTACATACAATGTAAAATTCAATTAGTCAATTTTTAGTCAGATTTCATGTGTTAACAGCTAGCTACCTGCTGTAGCTGTTCCAGGCAGCTGCCAAGTTGCTGCAACACCCAACACTGCTGCCCTGGAGAAAGACTGCTGCATCTTAGTACCAGACTTTCTGATTCAAAGCATGGCTCTAAATCACTTAGCCACATTTATAATAAGAGTAATCCTGGTTTAGTGACTTAAAACTCCTAACCTTAGAAGCGAGTAATTTTACATGATATTCATTTTATATAATTAATACAATATTTTACAATATATATACATATATGCATATCCTAAACACTAAATATAAAACACAGAAACAAAAAGGAGATAGGTATAGTATGACAAAGCATTTCTGTAATTCCCGCACTAAAAGAACAAAGGCCGGAGGTTCATAGGCTCTAGGCCATCCTGGTCTCTAAAATAAAAAACAAAAACAAACAAACAAAAAAACAGATTCACTGTTTTGACACATGCACAAACACAATCACTGCTTTAATACATTTTATAATAGTAAGTATTGAGACTACAAGCTAACTCTTGGGATGCTCATTTGCATCTGGTGTGTCTAGACACTGGAGATATAAGGGTTTCCAGAATGAGATTTCTGGAGGTTAACAGCAGATTACATCTCTTCATTGCAATAGCACACTACAAAGCATAATTTCTATGGGAAAGGATGGTGTAAACTCACAGTACTTTTTTGGTTAGGCAGGAGGTGGGACATGGATCATACATTGCTATATAAATGAGTTTGAATAAGTGACAGCTGAATGACATACTTCTATATCACACGAGAGAGCAATGAGGACACCATTTAAGATAACCTGCCCACTGACACAGAAGTCAGTGTCTTTTCTACTTTAACAAGATCAGGAGTCAATATTACCAGGATTAGCAGCTATCACTTCTTTGTGGACATAAGTTTTTCATTTTTCACTTTCTTTCTTTCCTGGCATTCACAATTCAGGCACTGAGCCACAAGTTTCTCTGAACTGAATATACTCATGACTGTACACGACTTGCATAGTATACTCAGTATGATATATTAAAATTCTCTATCAAGACCCACTCAGATTTCCACTCAAAGATGCTGTAGTGATTGAATGAAAATGGCCCCATAGGCTCACAGGGACTGGAACTATTGGGGAGTAGATCTTGTTGGAATAGGTGTGGCCTAGTTGGAGGAAGTGTGTCACTGGGAGTTCGCTTATGGTTCCAGATGCTCAAGCCTGGCATATGTCTCTCCCTACTACCTGCCCATCCAGGTGTAGAACTCTCAGCTCCTTCTCTAGCACCACGTCTGCCTGCATGCCACCATGGAGTAAACTTCTGAACTGTAAGCCAGTCCCAATAAAGTGTTTTCCTTTATAAAAGTTGTCGTAGTCATGGTGTCTCTTCATCGCAATAGAAACCCTACCTAAGATACTTAACTCTCTGGGGAGGCCAAAGAGGACATCGGGTACCCTGCAGCTGGAGTTACAGGCAGTTGTGAGTCACCTGCATGAGTGCTGGGAACAAAGAGCAGAAGAGTAGAACGTGCTACTAACCACTGAACCATATCTCCAGTCCCCAAGTTTGTTTAACATTGTAAGTGACATAATCTGTAAGTACACCTGGTAGCTTTTTCATCTTGTACTCAAATGAATCACTTCTCAAAACAGGAATTTAAATGACTACATTGGACAGGGAAGCAGTCTCTATTGGTATCTAATGTTGCACTTAGCAAATAATTTTACAAGAGTAGTTTGGATTACAAATATACATTTAACAAGTGGCTTGACATAAAGGCCACAATTTGTTACTAGAAAAAATGATTTCCTAAATATTAGCTCCAAGGCTTCCAAGAGGAAACTGAACCTTCTTATCATGAAATCTACCCTGTTCAAAATGATCTTAACCAAACAAAAGTTGTCTTTACTACACAGCTCACACTTATAAATAAGATGTGTTTTTTCATGGACTGCATGGTGACCACTACAGCTTGACAACGTTCTAATATTTCAACATTGCAGACCACACTTCTTCAGCACCTTTTTACCTTCAGTTTTAATGATTCTTCATATTAATGCCTTCGTCTTTGTGAAATTTTGTGTGTGCTTTGATAAAGGATAAAATGTGTACAACAGTAGCCTCTCTAAACAAAATAATTCTTTGGGGGGGGGGACACAGCCACATGGAACCCGGAATTCCATCATGCCCCCCAGTTACAGCAAGAACAGGAATGTTAGTGATTTACTAGATACACCTGATCCCAAGGATGAAATGCCTACAATTCAGATCCCAATTCAGATTCAAAGCCTGAGGCCATTAAGGGCACGAGTTCAGTTAATAAATGGAGAGAAATCAGAAAGGTAAAATATAATGGGAGAAGAGTAAGACATCAGGCCCTTCCCTTTTGGGCACCTTGTGAGGGGAACAGGCCAATATAGTAAAGACTAAGAAACTATAGTGGAGTGTCTACTCCCCAGAAGTCCTTTTCCCTACTTCAGGCATTTGGGTAAGGCTCTCCATTCCCCGGGAGGCTTGAGGAAAGTTCTTGCTTGATAAAGCAATCATTCTTATCTCTAACAAGAGGAACCTGTGGTCCTTCATTAACATACGACTGGTGCCCATTGTGAAGGTCAATGCTAACTTCCTCATGTCACAGTCAAACTCAGAAGCCCCCTGTTTCCTGTTTAATCCTATGTACAACTATAAACCCTAAAATGTGTATAAAGCATAAAATGTGTAGTCTTTTTTCAATTAAATGCTGCTGGCAGCCATCTTCATTCACCCTCAAATCGTGTCCATTCTCCCACATCCCAACCCACCCACACTCCTCCAGCACACACCACTTCTCAGCCACAGCAGCCAGTACTGTTATCTGCTGGATCTGCTGCACCATCTCCAGCCCATCTCTTGCTGAGACAGAGGTGAATATTAATAAATAAACCACCACTATCAACTGGCAGATACCTTTCATACTGTTTTATCACTAACCACCACAATAAGTCAATGAGGAAAGAAGGCTATCACTATACTCACCTTTAAGAGATAAATCATACATTAAAGGGGTGTTGAACTTCAAAGGAGTCTGGATGGACACCAAATGAGACCTGGACCCAAAGTGGAACTGAAGACGGCTTCCTTAAAGGCATACATGATGAGAGGAACTGTGGGTTGAGGTACTTGACTACAAGACTAAGATTTTTGAGAAATCACCTACAGCTGGCACTTTCTAGAGCCTTAACAATCTTCCCCTGTAGACCAGAGATTTCTCCCCACCCCTTTATTTTAGCATAGACCCTTTTCCATGGTCTCACCAAATTTATGGACCTTCTCCTACTGAAAAACCAAACAAATTTTTACATACAACTTAAAACTCTCAACAACCTCAAAACCCAGGAAACCTTCTTATAATTTGAAAACTCTACTATACAGGCAAGATTGAACTAGTTAAGAGAGTTTTAACAAGAGGCAATTTCATCATCTTCATTTAGCAAAAGCTTCAGGGGTGGGTTGCTGTGGAACATCTGTCTAATGACACAAACATGTGTTGCATTCTTTTATGCTGCATTTGTTTAACTCTGAGAAGCTGTATCACTTACTTTGCCTGTCTAAAACACATCGTTGTCTAATAAAGAGCTGAATGGCCAATAGCTAGGCAGGAAAGAGAGGATAGGTGGGGCTACTATGTAGAGACAATAAACAGGAGAAGAAGGAGGAGTGAGAAAAGGAGAGGAGGACACCAGGGACCAGCTCCCCAGTCATACAGCCAGCCATGCAGTAAGAAGTAAAGCAAAGTATATAGAATAGAGAAAGGTAAAAGCCCAAAGGCAAAAGGTAGATGAGGTAATTTAAGAAAACTGGGTAGAAATAAGTTAAGCTAAGGGCAAGCATTCATAAATAAGTCTCCATGTATTTATTTGGGAGCTGGGTGGAGGGCCCCCAAAGAGTAAAAAGTCCTAACTACAGTGGGTCAATCTGCTTACAGATCTACAAAAACAGCTGACCCCAAGCACTTCAGGGCATGGAAAAAGCAGTACAGAAACAAAGGCGGTGTATGAATGGGAAACTAGAGGATCCTTTCTTCACATTCTACTAAGAGATCAAATGTGAACAAAAGGCAACAAGGAAGCCAGGAAATGGTTGTGCAGTGATCTTCCTTCATCTGTTGTGGGCATTTTCTTTCCCCATGATTAGCTGTTACCCATGTCAAGCACAGTCTGAAACAGTAAGTGGAGAACTCCAGAAAGAAGCAATTGTCAAACAGTCTAATAAAATCCAATACTGCTATGGTCCAAGCCATTCAAGATATAAGCCATGTCTCTGCCCAGCTATCAACACTGTACCTGCATCTGGCATCCCTGTTGTGGCCCCAAATCATCTGTATTAGAGTGACCCTAATGTATTAGTAGATAGTATGCCAACATTCATTTTCCTTCATCTCATGTAAATCCATCACTCATTTTAGCCTTAAGGACACACATAACTGGGAATGAAAGGCTGGAAAAACACTCCCAAGCAGATGACAACCAAAAGAGAGCAAATAGCCCGGCATATTGATTCTTGCCTGTAATGCCAGCACTCAGGAGGACCAGGAGTCATATCAAGTATGTTTTGTAGCATAATGAATTAAAAGCAAACTCAGAAATCAAATTCTATACAAGTCACAAGTACTTAAAAATGAAACATTAAATGTTCCCTAACAACCCACAATCAAAAACTCTAGAAGAATTTTTTAAATAATTTCAAA